ATGTAAATTTATAGGAGTTGAGGGGTATGTATCTAGATTTTCCCAATTTTAAAGTTAGACCAACGAGTGCTTCAATAATTTGTTGACATCAATCTTAATGCGTGTCTAACACGGGATCCGGTCCTTCACATCCCTTAGCCTAATAGACTGCATCTTTTAATTAAGATTAATTAGTCATAGTGAATTTTTTATAAGAATTTAGTGCTACAATAATATATTAATAATAAATTAAGATGATATTTCTATAAGTTAATGCACCTTATGGGCATGCTACAATATTTTTTTTTTATTGGGCCATTTACATACATGCTACCCAATTCCTATGTATTTACATTTCGAGCACCCGAACTTTGCTTTTTTTATATTTATACCCCCCAATGCCCCAAAACATAAAAAATACCATCATTTCAACTTTTAAAAAGTGAAGCACGCATTTTCATGCATAGGTATGATGGTAAGCATATACAAATTAAAAGTGGGGGTGTTGTATATATAAATACCTAGGAATTGAGTGGTATATGTGTAAATCTTTCTTTTGTATTTTATTTTATTTTATTTTGGTAATTTTCTTAGTAGTGGATAGAGCTGTCAATTTGACTCGTTGTTCATGAACAGTTCCTGTTCAGCTCGTTAAACAACTTTTGTTCGGCTCGTTCGTTAAGCCTAACGAGCCGAACACGAATAAATTTTTAAGCTCAAAATGTAAACGAGCCGAACACGAACAACAGTTTGTTCACTCGTGTTCGACTCGAAATGACTCAAAAAAAAATAATATAACTTTTTATATAACAATATATTACATATATTATATATATAAAAATATATTATATATATTTATGTCTAAATTTAAATCATAACACCTCATATGGCAATGTGGTTAGTGTCTTCTTTTGTATATATTTGATCCAGGTTCGCATCCCACACTTTACATTTATTTTTCTCAATTTTAGTTTAACGAGCCAAGATGATATTTGTATTAATTGACGATACACTTATTGAGTACAATTTCTTGATAATAATTTATTAAACCTTACATATTCAGCGGACTAATTAATATTGCTTTGGTTTGATTCATAAAAATGCAGGGTAATTGTTGCAATTATCACCATCTTTGAGAGGTTCTTTGATATCTTCATTTCATGGTATGTAATGCAACTCAACTCATTCATCATCATAATTTCGATTAATAAAAAAAACAGATAAAAACCAATAGTCTAAGCTCCTTATTTAAAAAAAAAAAACAAAAATAATCACCACAATTATTTTTAATTTTAAATTGCGCTTTTGTGGATGGTTTTAATTTGTATTTATTAATATGCAGCTTATATATATATATTCTCATAGATTTAATTCGTATTTATTAATGTTTTTATACATATATTTTCTCATAAATTTAACTCAATAGGTTGCTCATGAGCTAAGCTCAATGGGCTCACAAGCCAAACTTAAGCTAACCACAACTTGAACTCTTAGCTTGTATGCCGACTTATTATATATATATATATATATATATATATA